CCCCCCCCCCCCACCGCGACCCTGCACCGCCTCCGCACTGTACTCCAAGGCCACGGCTGCCCTTTCCTCTCCCTTCCCTGGACTTTGTGTTTCTTAAACTAGCCCCAGTTATCATTTCTAACCTGCCTATCGCCCGACACCAACTGTTGCGAGTTCCGTGGTAACTGCTTCTCTAAACTTCTCGGCCGAAACTGCTCCTCTCGGGAGCCTGTTTAAAGAAGCCGAGTTAAGAGTAAATGCCCGGATGCCCGTGGAATCACATAGCCCCAAAGTTGTAAAACGTGAGAAGGGTGTAGTTTATTAAGTCTTTGGAAGTCTTGGGCAACGTTCGTAAACACAGTAAAAATGGAAACCAGGCGTTTTAAATTAAACGAAAAACGAGGAGGTTTCTACTAGCAAGGCTGATTGACCATGGGCGAAATTCTCAAAGCGGCAATATTCGGAACCCCTCGTGTGTGGAGAGAAGTTAAAGAAAATCGTACTAAAGTGAAAATAGTATTTCAAAATAAGGCTAAATTAACAATACTTAAAGCAGAGTGTTGGAAAATAGCATAATTCCATATTTCAAGAAAGGCTCGAGAAATATTTTCAGTGACCAAAGAGATTTTCAGGTGAAAACCTGGGATAATTAAGTCCCAGGACTTAGGACGCTACCTGTTCCGTTTAAACAATTCTGATCGTAATTACTTGGCTGTTATTGGGGAAAGAAAGAGAAAAGAGAAAATGGAACGAAAGGAGAAAGCGGGGGCTGACTAGAAAAGCAAAATTTTTAAATGGAAAATAGATCCCTCTTTACCAATAAGCCCAATACCCTAGGATTCTGGCCTCCTCCTCACCTTTGGGTTTAAGCTTAAAGATGGTGCATTCCTGCTTTTAGATATTTAAATTTAAACATGAAGACTTAATTTTAATTACTGTAGTAGGTAAAACAAAGTCATTAAATACTTCCAAGAATCCCATTGGTGTATTGATTTGTGTCTTTTCAAAGCAGTGGTCCTGGTTCCTTGAACCAGGCACTTGTGGAATGTCGTGTCTATCCATAAACAGATGGGCTGGGGGCGCCTTGGTGGCTCAGTCGGTTAAGTAACCGACTTCAGCTCAGGTCATGATCTCACAGTCTGTAAGTTCAAACCCAGCGTCGGGCTCTGCGCTGACAGCTTGGCGCCTGGAGCCTGCTTCGGATTCTGTGTCTCCCTCTCTCTCTCCTGCTCATGCTCTCTCTGTCTCAAAAATAAATAAAAACATTTTAAAAAATTAAAAAAAAAGAAGAGGTGGACTGATTGGGACTCTTGGGCAGAACTGGTTTGAGATGTATGAGTAGAATGGCATCACTGCTTCCCAAATCTAACACCAATGATTATTCCACAATTTTCAAAAGTCCACGTTATTTCATTGGCTAAAGAGTGCTGTCAAATGAGCAAACTATTAAGTCAGGAAATATTGAATTTCTGTGTACACAAAACTATCCTGAGTGGTGAGGGGAAAGGACAAATATGAGATCAAAGATTGCTGAGGACAGGCACCCTGCACATGTGATGGATGGCAGGACATCTTTTATCTTCAATCTGAATCTTCTTTTCCTCACCGCTAGGTGGTAGGTTTGCGTCTTGCAGCTTTTCACCAAGTTTCTATGGTTTTGGGAGGAAGCATGCTTCATAAAGTTTCAAATAAATGAACAACAACACGTAATTCTAAAATGAGTTAGTGAATATATTTTCCAGTTACCCATATAATCTGTTTAAAATGATTGAGCCAAGGGTAATACTTCCTCAACATAATCTCTTAAGGGGTCTCAGACATGCAGATTAAGAGGATCCTAGAGACTTCAGAGATCAACTCTAATTTGAGGTATGGAATTACAAGCCCAGACAAATAAAGTGACTTGACCAAGGTTGCATAGCTGCTGGGTAGAAGGTGGACAAGAAAAGCCAGAAGCCGGGGGGAGGGGGGGGGCAGGAAGCCAGATTTCCCAATTCTTAATTCAATTCTATTTCTACTACTCCACTTTGAATTGCAATTGTTGCTTCACTTATTTAAGTTGGGAACCAACATATAGTTGACCTCTCACAAAGGCCTATTTGGAAAAAAGGATGAGGGGGCAATAATAATAACTATCATTTATTGAGTAACTATGTTTAACATTGCAACTTTATTTCATTCCATATGAATAACAATACCATGAAGTAGATATTATTTTTACCTACTTTTCACATTTTCCAGATTATAGATTCAAGACTCAGAGGGGTTAACTGCCTTTGTCCAAGATCACAACGTTACCAAATGGCAGAACCAGAATTCTAACTAAGATCTCTCTGCCTCCCAAACCCTCTCATTTCCCTGCAAGTAGAAGCAGGACTCCGCATGCAGCAGATTCATTTAATTCCATGTGAGAGGTGATGTTCCGCTGCATAGTTGAGCAGTTTGACAAAAATCTGAGCTCCTGTCATGTGTCAGGCAGTGTCCTAGACACTTAGGACACAAATGTATCTAACACATAATTTCTGACCTCTAACTCTTCTGGCTACCCTGGAATAGAATCTCAGCTGCAAGCTTTTTCCCATTCGGGGGAGGATCGAGCAATACAACACATTGGTTTAGAGAGTAGAATCTGAAGATACAGAGAGACTGATTAGAATCTTCATTCCATCCCTTAGAACCTGTGTGGCCTTGACAACTTTTCTGGTCATCAGTTTCCTCATGTGACAGAGGATAATAGTCTACAAGATGGAGATTGCGTGAAGATGAAATGAAACGATCATGTGCCATGGCTGACACGTTGTTAGCATAAATGAGTATCAACTCTCATGATTAGGCTCCCATCTGTTTGTCCGGTCTACAGGATGACAGGAAACCAAGATGCTTGTTACAATATAAGAGCATGAAGGAGTAACAGCAATGACGTTGGCCTCTGAAAACAACATTCCCTGAGGCATATCCTCATTCCCAGAGTGAGTTTTGGCAAGGAGCACAGAGAATGACTATCAGAGAGTAGGGGGTAGCCTCTGTGAACCATAGGACTCATTGGTCAGAATTATATCAAGCTTGTGTCTGATTGGTTGTAGGTGGCTTTTAATAGGGAAGTGATGTCAGAGAAATGAGAGGATAAAATGGATTGGAGCCTTTTAAAGAAAGATGTCTCCTGGGGTGCCTGGGTGGCACAGTCAGTTAAGCATCTGACTCTTGATTGCAGCTCGGGTCATGATCTCATGGATTGTGAGTTCAAGCCCCACGTCGGGCTCTGATGCTGTGAAAGTCTGGTTGGGATTCTCTCTCACTCTCTCTCTGCCCCTCCTCCACTTATGCTCTCTCTCTTTCTTTCTCTCTCAAAAAGTAAGCTAAAACTTGGGGCGCCTGGGTGGCTCAGTCGGTTGGACGTCTGACTTCGGCTCAGGTCATGATCTCGCGGTCCGTGAGTTCGAGCCCCGCGTCGGGCTCTGTGCTGACAGCTCGGAGCCTGGAGCCTGTTTCGGATTCTGTGTCTCCCTCTCTCTGTCTGACCCTCCCCCGTTCATGCTCTGTCTCTCTCTGTCTCAAAAATAAATAAACGTTAAAAAAAAAAAATTAAAAAAAAAAGTAAGCTGAAACAAAAGAACCATAGCTTCTAATGAATTCCAATAAGTAACACTTTTGAAAGCACTCTTAATGGATGAGGTCTTTTATTCCTCACAACAACCCAATCAAGTATCCCCATTTTACAACAGAGCACAGAGAAGTTAAGTGATTTGCCCATGGTCACATAGGTTATAGTAGATTTGGATCCGAACCCAGGCAATCTGACTGCAGAGCTAGATGCTTAATCTTCACATTATTCTGCCTCCTGTACTATAGAGGATA